GTCACTATAGAAATAGCTTGAAATATGGACGGCACATTTGGGAGCGGGGCATTTTTGTATGGAAATACTTGAAAATACGGGCTGGAAATAACATTATTGTCTTCCTTAACCATTTGGCCATCTAATCAAATAATACAAGTCACCCCTAACCCTCTTCAAGTGTACATAGGTACCCTACATCACGGGGCTCTCTATGCAAAGCGTCACTATAGAAATAGCTTGGAAATGTGGACGGCACATTTGGGAGCGGAGCATATTTTAAATGGAAATACTTGAAAATACGGGTTGGAAATAACATTATTGTCTTCCTTAACCATTTGGCCATCTAATCAAGTAGTACAAGTCACTTGCTACCACTCTCTTCAAGGGTACATAGGTACCTCTACATCATGGGCTGGTCTCTATGCAAAGCGTCACTATAGAAATAGCTTGAAATATGGACGGCACATTTGGGAGCGGGGCATTTGTATGGAAATACTTGAAAATACGGGTTGGAAATAACATCATTGTCTTCCTTAACCATTTGGCCATCTAATCAAGTAATACAAGTCACCCCCTGCCCCTCTTCAAGTGTACATAGGTACCCTACATAATGGGGGTCTCTATGCAAAGCGTCACTATAGAAATAGCTTGAAATATGGACGGCACATTTGGTTGTAGGGGCATTTTTCGTTTGGAAATACTTGAAAATACGGGTTGGAAATAACATCACTGTCTTCCTCAACCATTTGGCCATCTAATCCAAGTAGTACAAGTCACTGGCTACCCCTCTTCAAGTGTACATAGGTACCCTACATCATGGGCTGGTCTCTATGCAAAGCGTCACTATAGGAAATAGCTTAGCGAAATATGGACGGCACATTTGGGGAGCAGGGCATTTTTGTATGGAAATACTTGAAAATACGGGTTCGAAATAACATCATTGTCTTCCTTAACCATTTGGCCATCTAATCAAATAATACAAGTCACCCCTAAACTCTCTTCAAGTGTACATAGGTACCCCTACATCATGGGGGGTCTCTATGCTAAAAGCGTCACTATAGAAATAGCTTGAAATATGGACGGCACATTTGGGAGCCAGGGAATATTTTAAATGGAAATACTTGAAAATACGGGTTGGAAATAACATTATTGTCTTCCTTAACCATTTGGTCGTTTAATAAAAGTAATACAAGTCACTCCTGCCCCTCTTCAAAGGTTACATAGGTACCCTACATCATGGGGGTCTCTATGCAAACCGTCACTATAGAAATAGCTTGAAATATGGACGGCACATTTGGGAGCGGGGCATTTTTTGTATGGAAATACTTGAAAATACGGGTTCGAAATAACATCATTGTCTTCCTTAACCATTTGGCCATCTAATAAAAGTAATACAAGTCACCCCTAACCCCTCTTCAAGTGTACATAGGTGCCCTACATCATGGGCTGGTCTCTATGCAAAGCGTCACTATAGAAATAGCTTGAAATATGGACGGCACATTTGGGAGCAGGGCATTTTTTTGTATGGAAATACTTGAAAATACGGGTTGGAAATAACATTATTATCTTCCTTAACCATTTGGCCATCTAATCAAGTAGTACAAGTCACTGGCTACCCCCTCTTCAAAGAGTACATAGGTACCTTACATCATGGGCTGGTCTCTATGCAAAGCGTCACTATAGAAATAGCTTGAAATATGGACGGCACACGATTAGGAATGAGGGAATATTTTAAATGGAAATACTTGAAAATACGGGTTGGAAATAACATTATTATCTTCCTTAACCATTTGGCCATCTAATCCAAGTAATACAAGTCACCCCCTAACCCCTCTTCAAGTGTACATAGGTGCCCTACATCATGGGCTGGTCTCTATGCAAAGCGTCACTATAGAAATAGCTTGGAAATATGGACGGCACATTTGGTAGCAGGGCATTTTCGTTTGGAAATACTTGAAAATACGGGTTGGAAATAACATCACTGTCTTCCTCAACCATTTGGCCATCTAATCCAAGTAGTACAAGTCACTGGCTACCCCCTCTTCAAGTGTACATAGGTACCCTACATCATGGGCTGGTCTCTATGCAAAGCGTCACTATAGAAATAGCTTGAAATATGGACGGCACATTTGGGAGCGGGCATTTTTGTATGGAAATACTTGAAAATACGGGTTCGAAATAACATCATTGTCTTCCTTAACCATTTGGCCATCTAATCAAATAATACAAGTCACCCTAAACTCTCTTCAAGTGTACATAGGTACCCTACATCATGGGGGTCTCTATGCAAAGCGTCACTATAGAAATAGCTTGAAATATGGACGGCACATTTGGGGCGGGGAATATTTTAAATGGAAATACTTGAAAATACGGGTTGGAAATAACATTATTGTCTTCCTTAACCATTTGGTCGTTTAATAAAGTAATACAAGTCACTCCCTGCCCCTCTTCAAGGTTACATAGGTACCCTACATCATGGGGGTCTCTATGCAAAGCGTCACTATAGAAATAGCTTGAAATATGGACGGCACATTTGGGAGCAGGGCATTTTTGTATGGAAATACTTGAAAATACGGGTTGGAAATAACATCATTGTCTTCCTTAACCATTTGGCCATCTAATCAAGTAATACAAGTCACCCCTAACCCCTCTTCAAGTGTACATAGGTACCCTACATAATGGGGGGTCTCTATGCAAAGCGTCACTATAGAAATAGCTTGAAATATGGACGGCACATTTGGGGCGCGGGCATTTTTGTATGGAAATACTTGAAAATACGCGTTGGAAATAACATTATTATCTTCCTTAACCATTTGGCCATCTAATCAAAGTAATACAAGTCACCCCTAACCCCTCTTCAAGTGTACATAGGTGCCCTACATCATGGGCTGGTCTCTATGCAAAGCGTCACTATAGAAATAGCTTGAAATATGGACGGCACATTTGGGAGCGGGGCATTTTTCGTTTGGAAATACTTGAAAATACGGGTTGGAAATAACATTATTGTCTTCCTTAACCATTTGGCCATCTAATCAAGTAGTACAAGTCACTGGCTACCCCTCTTCAAGAGTACATAGGTACCTTACATCATGGGCTGGTCTCTATGCAAAGCGTCACTATAGAAATAGCTTGAAATATGGACGGCACATTTGGGAGCGGGGCATTTTTGTATGGAAATACTTGAAAATACGGGTTGGAAATAACATCACTGTCTTCCTCAACCATTTGGTCGTCTAATAAAGTAATACAAGTCACCCCTGCCCCTCTTCAAGTGTGCATAGGTACCCTACATCATGGGGGTCTCTATGCAAAAGCGTCACTATAGAAATAGCTTGAAATATTGACGGCCCATTTGGGGCGGGGCATATTTTGAATGGAAATACTTGAAAATACGGGTTGGAAATAACATTATTGTCTTCCTTAACCATTTGGCCATCTAATCAAGTAGTACAAGTCACTGGCTACCCCTCTTCAAGTGTACATAGGTACCTTACATCATGGGCTGGTCTCTATGCAAAGCGTCACTATAGAAATAGCTTGAAATATGGACGGCACATTTGGGAGAATGAGGGCATTTTTGTATGGAAATACTTGAAAATACGGGTTGGAAATAACATTATTGTCTTCCTTAACCACTTGGCCATCTAATCAAGTAATACAAGTCACCCCTAAACTCTCTTCAAGTGTACATAGGTACCCTACATCATATGGGGGTCTCTATGCAAAGCGTCACTATAGAAATAGCTTGAAATATGGACGGCACACATTGATAGCGGGGCATTTTTGAATGGAAATACTTGAAAATACGGGTTGGAAATAACATTATTGTCTTCCTTAACCACTTGGCCATGTAATCAAGTAATACAAGTCACCCCCTAAACTCTCTTCAAAAGTGTACATAGGTACCCTACATCATGGGCTGGTCTCTATGCAAAGCGTCACTATAGAAATAGCTTGAAATATGGACGGCACATTTGGGAGCAGGGCATATTTTGAATGGAATTATTTGAAAATACGGGTTGGAAATAACATTATTGTCTTCCTTAACCATTTTGGCCATCTAATAAAGTAATACAAGTCACTCCCTGCACACTCTTTCAAGGGTACATAGGTACCTTACATCATGGGGTCTCTATGCAAAAGCGTCACTATAGAAATAGCTTGAAATATGGACGGCACATTTGGGAGCAGGGCATTTTTTGTATGGAAATACTTGAAAATACGGGTTCGAAATAACATCATTGTCTTCCTTAACCATTTGGCCATCTGATAAAGTAATATATGTTGCTCAGTATCCCTCTTCAAAGGGTATAGGTACCCTACATCATGGGGAAGTCTCTATGCAAAGCGTCATCAGAGATGATGTAATGATTTAATGGTTACGGTGCGGGTACACTTGTGACTTAAAAGTACATAATGTGAAGTACAGAATAACCTTGCCTGATGCAGCAATACCGTTGTTTTTCATAATAGCTTTGATGTAATTATTTTTCAGTTTCAAGATATCTGCAATGATAACAGACTACTGGACGACCTAGTCATTGTCCATAGGTCCCTAGAGAGTTTCAAAACTGGATATCCTGACGATAGCACCAAGGCTTCCGAAAGAAACCGAAGACCAAATGAGAGACAAAATAGAGAGAGAGATGAGATGGATGGTTGGCTGGGTGAATGATCAGGTATGTATAAAAGACAGCATATAAGCAGCTTATTACACGCTGATAAAGAAAAAACCCAAGTAACAATAATAAGTAAATACGTTTCTTTTGCAGATAATAAATGCCTTCCTGTATGTGCTGTGTCAAGGACGAGAGAGGTGGGTGAAAGGTTTTTAACCTACAAGTCAGTTTAGAAATAACAACAATACAAGATGTCGACTCGTTTGTTCAAAAGAATATACAATATGACTGAATGTTGTGTTTATGTATACAATTACATACGGTAAATAATATTCGTCCTTGAATATATAACATGTTCTTTTTTTTCGTGTTATTTACAGCTTCAGTGTAAAGGAAAGAAAATGTAGCTTTATCAACTCAGGTTATTGAGGGATGGCGAAATTTCAAGTCGGGAAGGAGTCACCGAGTGGCACTTCTACAAAAGGTGATGAATTGATATTGAGTACAGTACATACCTGTGAGATAATATACACTGCAACAGTTGATAAACGTCGAATTATGGAATTATGGAATTGAATTATTTCGTACGAATATAGCAAATTCATTGTTGATCGCATTATAATTTGTTTTGTTGTTTGTTGTGTAATGCCACAATATGGCGATTCGTACACTATGTAACTGCTATGTTGCACAATACTACTGCATTATGAAGATGGCACCTCAGAACGAATATTGTTCCAAATGTAACAGACAATATTCGCTATATTTCAGGAATAACTCTCAGATGCAGAAAAAGTGTTTATACCGATTCATAGACATGGCAGCCATTGGACATTGTTGGTAATTGGTATTTCCTGGGTATTTAAGACAGTAAGAGTGGTGACTTATAAGCTATATGTGTCTGGGACGCGTGTTGAATTTCAGCAGTGTTTAAACTTTTTGTGATTTCCTGTCACCGAGTCTGGTCCAGATGTCATGACTAAATGTAACTTGTCGTAATCTGTGGTTATCGCCAATAGTGATGTGTTTCTGCGCGTTTCAGCAGCCTTATATTATTATTTTTGGAGCAAATGTCTTATTCAGTGGGAAAGGGGAACGCCAGGTGTATTGACATATAATAGTATAACACTTTCTTCTAACTCAGGTTTTGGATGTACAAACCAAACAAATGCGTTTCTATGACCCCATGAACCGGACATTTGATGAAGAGGTGGTCAACATCACAAGGTATGATTGTTGACTTAGTACATGCCCTGTTCTGACACCTACCAGGACATTATACTTGCATGCACGCAAACATACAGAGGGTAACTACCTTCACGCCTCCTAGTCTATGTCTATTCATTGTTGAGTTATCTGTCGGGTTCTACTCTCATTGCTTTGGTATGTTTCTATGAAGGGAGTACATGGCTTCAGAATGTACCGGATGATGCCATTGACCCAACACACTTCAACGTAGAAGTCGGTCATGGGTACACAACACAGGACACTACCAGCTGTGGGGTTTACGTGTGCATAGTGAGTACAGTGGTTTTGTAAACGTTTTACTGAATTAATGGCTGCATATTTCACTTTTACTTATTCAGCTACTATTCAGAAAATATTAAAATTTTTACATAAATGAAAGTATATTTGCTAATGTAAGGGTCACACTGAGCATCGTTTTACTTGTTTCCAGCATTAAACTGGAACGAATGCAGGAAGGACAAAAGGAAGGACCTTTTGACGTTTATGTTCTGTGTCTAATGTTCTGAACAAAAGAACAAACTTCATGTGTTACTATATGTCCCAAACATACCCAAACAGAACAGAGTGTGATGTTAACGGATACATGTGGCTATTTTACGGACGTAATGGGCGTACACTTAAACAGGATTAGGCATTAAGGTGCGCCTGGGGTACAACAGGAAAGCAACGTTGTGTCATCGACTGCCTAACACCCATGAACCTAGCTTCAAGCAGCCTGCGCCATTAACAATACCAAACATGGCACCCAGCTGCTGAATATGGTGGCTGATTAGGGCCATCGCTTTCTCACCTTAAAATTTGGAGGCGAGAAAGCGAAAAGCTGGCTATCACGAGACAATAAAGCCTCCTGTTGGATTAAATCATACGCAGGTTAGACGTCATGTGCAGTAGACAGGGCAGGGGTATGTGAAATATCGCTTTCTCGGCTCTATCCTTTCGCTTTCACAACTTTCTCGCTTTCTTGCTCTATCCTTTCTCGCTTTCTCGCTCTATCGCTTTCTCGCTTTCTTGCGCGGTATATCGCTTTCTCCGCTCTATCGCTTTCTCGCTTTTATCGCTCTATCGCTTTCTCCTTTATATCGCTTTCTCGCCTTGGTATATCGCTTTCTCATCCTATCCTTTCTCGCTTTATCGCTTTCTCGCGTAATGGTATCGCTTTCTCATCTCGTGCTATCGCTTTCTCGTCTCGTGTTATCGCTTTCTCGTCTCGCGTTATCGCTTTCTCGTCTCGTGCTATCGCTTTCTCGTCTCGTGTTATCGCTTCCCTCGTCTCGTGATATCGCTTTCTCGCTTTCTCCTCCGAATTTTAAAGGCGAGAAAGCGATAACTAATCAGCCACCATAGCTGAACATTCTGGGGTTTAGCTTCTCAAGGCACGAAGATTTCTTTCAAGAGCTGATGGGACTAAGGTCAGCTGGTGTCGGCGGAATTTTGCAGGACATTTCAAGTCAAAACAGCTCTGTGTGGTGTTACATTGTGATATTGGAATTGGTGGCTTCAACCGTTAACAGGCAATGCACTACCGAACAGGGTCACGCGTTCATAAAGAGTACCGGGCAGTAAAAAGTGGTGGATGCGTCAGGTGTAGACGTGACCATTATGGTATTCGCCCATATCAACTACTTTGTATTGCCCATTTCCCGATAGTTCAATTATTCGTTTCCGTTCAATATACATTGTATTTTTACTTATGACGGACAGACAGCAAACTGATATATATGCAGCGTTTAAAATTCCGCCTGTCCGACCGTCCGGAAGGGTCTATTTTCATCTCGGACGGTCAAATATCAAAAGTAGCCTGTCCGGTGCATGGTCTGGCGATATGTTTTACTCCCCAAGTGTAAATATTTCATAATATCAGACAGGTTCTCGTGTCGTCAGTTTGAGGTGTTTAAGGTATATGAAAATTATGTTAAACAACATACGATTGTACAGTTCATGTTATGATAACCAATCATAACACATGTACTTTCAGTTTACCCAAACCGACCCATTGCCTATCAGTGCTATGTAGTTCGTTGCGATGCCTACAAACATTGAATGGCGGTTACAGTTTTTATTGTTGAAAACCAGACAGCAAGCATGGTGTCCGGACTGGTAATTTTTTCAAGTTAGTTTTATTTCCATAATGCATGTGTGTGGCCATAGGCCCAAATACATAATACAATAATAATAATATGGGTGATATTATAAACGATCATTTTCGCTTCTTAAAAGCAACATGAATGAATGGCATTAATTTCTAAGCACAGATTGTGAAGTTGCTGCTATAAGCTCTTTGAGAACATGTGTACTGATGGGTTCCTGATCACATAACTTGGTAGAATAGCTTTTCTGATGGTGTCAAGGGAAGGACATATCATATATAAAGATCTTCGATTTCATATCGATCACAGCGTGGGCAGATACGTTGCTCACGGGGAATATTTGATATCCGGCCTCTGTCTATCTGTAGACTTTAAAGTCCTTAACTGTTGGAGAAAATATTCCGGAACACCAACATAACATCTTGGTGAAGCCCAAGCATATCCCATTCCAACATTTTGTAGTAGGGTTCTAACGTCGGAACACCATGTATGTCGACCTACATTGTCCAGATTATACAACATGTCATATGCCTTGCGTGGTAGTCGATGGGACGGGAGATGAAGGAGTCTGATCCAGTACTTGATGCATCTGACGGCACTATCCACATACAGAGGATGACGTCCACACTCTCCAAGGGCCATAGCATTTGGTGTGTTTTTGTACCGGTTCCAAAATGTAGCGTTTACAAGCAAAATATTGAACTCTCTCAAGTTGCCTCTACTCGTGTGTGTCCCCATATTTCACTTCCGTATAACAGGATGGGCTTTATTTTGGTGTCGAATATTTGAAATAGGTCTTGAATGGTAACTTTCCATATGCCCACATTATACGTAAGATGTTCACTGAGGAACGTTTGCCGTTAGTTGCAAGGCGAAGGGCGGATTGGCGCAGAGACAGGGATGGTGTTAGCATGATCCCTAGATATTTGTAGCTTGTCACAGGCTCGATCTCTTTGCCGTTGTAAAACCATTTTTCACAACGTCTAAGGATTCCCCTCTTCTAAAGACGACAACCTTTGTCTTCTGTAGGTTAACTGACAGGCCCCATGTGTCACAGAATGTAGACAGGATGTTGAGCTGTTGCTGGAGACCATTGACCCTGTCAGACATTAGGATTACGTCGTCAGCAAACAGCAGTAGAAATAGTTCGTATAGATCTGGGTATAGCTGTACTCCGCCTTTGCACTCCTGTAATATCATCATATCGGCAAGTCCATTTATGAACAGAGAAAGGACCGGACTAAGAACACATCCTTGTTTGAGACCAACTGGACAATCAAAGACTTGCGTGTACGATCCTCCACTACATCTAACAGAAGCTGACACTCCTGAATACATAGATTCGAAAATGTGAAGCATTTTTCCACCCAGGTTGATGTTTCGAAGTACGCCCATCAGTTTTGTTCTATTGATAGAATCAAATGCTTTCCTAAAGTCAATTAGAGCAACATATAAGCGACCTTTTCTTTTACTGAGATATTTCTGTACGCAGGCAGTTAGTGTGAAGATGTTGTCCGTAGTAGAGTAGCCCTGACGAAATCCTGCTTGTTCTTCACATATCTTGTGATTAATTTCAGTCCACGTCGATAGGCGCTTGTTAAGGATAGATGTGAAAACCTTTCCAAACACACTGTTTAAGGTAATTCCCCGGTAGTTATTCGGGTCTTTGTGACAGCCGCTTTTATGTATAGGAATAATAGTGCCACTTCCCAGCCGTTGGGGAAAAACACCTATATCAAAAGGATTTTGTTGAGGAGTTTTACTAAGTAAGGCAATATATACTTAAGTGATGATTTTAGTGTTTTTGGTATTATATAATCTGGACCAGATGACTTTCCACTCTTTAATTTATTATATTATTTATTTAAAGTTTACCCAGTCAGACTGTCTGGCTTGGAATTTTTGGAGTTTTAAACACTGATATATGTATGTCTAAAAAGAGCCAATCATGACATGTTTGCAGGTTGACCCGAGCAGTTGCCGTTCTTTCATTGCTGAAGAAATTGTGAATGCAGGGGAAGGATATGCAACGGAAGGTACGTCTATTTGGGTATTCAGTAAGATTGTGACGTTGATAGAACATAGACAGATAGACACACGTTCTGATAGAACAGGTATTTATTTACACATGCTTGCACGAAAACGCTTTCCATTTCAGAATACCACACATGACGTACCAAGAAGATACGGACTGCGAGAGCAAGTTCCGGCGGTAGGACATAATATGTGTCCTAGATTGAAATACATAGTTTTCCATTTTCACGAAGCGTGGAAATACGTTTAGCAGAGTTGCATGTATTATGTTCAGAATGAGGAACGTGGCTCTAATAACAAAGATTGACAATCCAGATTGATACAGGTGTATGTAACAACGGAACTAAATATGGCCATTGAAAAACACTGAAACGGTAAGTAAACAGATACAGATATACCCAGTTATTAATAAAGGCTCATTGACTATATGAATCAATGTCCACACATCTACATGGTTCCACATGGCATGGTCTTTACACTAGAGCAAATATACCAACATGAGAAATATCTCGCTATGTCGAAGTCAATAGACCACTTTATCTCCACAACTTTGCGATGAGGATATTCCCAGGGGCGCAGCTACCATTAAAAACTGGCGGGCTATTACATGATTTTTGTTTTACGATCCCCATGAAAGTTGGGCAAGCCCTCAAAACTATCTACCTATATAGCTGCGCTGACGTATCGGGTTTTACACGAAAGAATTGACTTGATACGCGCCTGATTCCGATCACTGTGTATGTTGTATTCATATTGCACATTTTCGGGCTTCATAAGTGAATGTGAAACTGACGTAATTTAATCAGTAATCAATTGTAAGTAATAATTGTGGTAATGATATACAGCCATAGAAATACGTATGTTATGTTTCTATATCAGGAAATATTTTCCGATTGATGGTGTGC